TTTATAAATAAAATATGTTAAATTTAATTAGAATAATTTGTATTGATATTTTTAAATGAATGAAATAGCATTTACAAATTTCTATTGAATATTTTATAAATTCAAAATTTTAAATTTAATTGGAATTATTTCTATTGATATTTCAAATAATTAAATTATAATTTTATATAATTAACTTCAATTTTATATATTATTAATAAAAATATTAAACCTATTTAAATCCATTAAAATTGTTTAGAAATAAATTTTATTATATATTTTGGAAATAAATACTATTAAATTTAATTAGAATAATCACTTTATGATTATTTCTTTTTCAGAATGCTAGACAACTCGTACAGTTTTCAAACATGAAAATTCATATATACTTTTAAATCGAAATTCAATCTTTTCAATTTCTCTTAATTATTATTGTAAAATACTACTGAAATTTCAACTTTTATGATCATTTTTATTCAAAATTATGAAGATTTATGAATAACTTTCTGAAGATTTTAAATAAATACTGAACGTTTATGAACACAAAAGCAGAAAAGTTTCTTTATGATTGACAAAGTATAAACTTAATTAATTAATTTTGATCTCAAAATTATCATCTAATAATATTAATATTAACCTGTTTTTCATCAAATACTATATGTAAAATTTAAATACACAATTTTTATAATTTATTATTTGTTAATTGATAATACATTAATTACAAGAATCCCAATATAATTGAGAATGTTATCAATTATTTATGTAATAATATATATTTAAATACTTGGTAGCTATTTCAAATTTTTTAAACATGAAATTCTAATGAAGACATATGGCAAACTCAATAAATCCAAATAGTAATTCTAGCTTAAAGGTGATTTGAAATTTAATTTTCTCCTTACAAAAGTAAATAATTATTAAATATCGAAAAATACATATTTACAAATTTTTTCTAGGAGTAATATTTTAAAACCTAATAGAGAGTAAATTTTATAAAAGTATCATTTTCATTCTAATTTGACAAATGCTCACAACTAAAGAATTAAAAACCTTTTAAATTAAAGAATAAATAATAAGGGTTATGATCTAAAGTTGAGATATTATAAGGTATAGGTATTTAAAACTAATTTGAAAAATTCTGAAATTAAAATTTTAGGTAGAAGGAATTGTTTAGCTTCTCCTAATTCCTTTCAAAATGTGATAATTCTTGCCTTCCTTAGTTGACTTAAGTGTAAAGACTCAAAAAGAAGAAAGACAAAACCATGGGTTATGTTTAAGAATTTATTGATTATGAAGACCCAATTTTTTTTTCTTTAGAATTCTTCTAAAGGTAATTAAATTTTTGATTTTATCATTTTTAAATGGTGAGTCAATTTCTTCTATTTTGAAATCTCTACAATCAATTATTATAATTGATTCATCTGATTGACGATAGTCATAATTTTCTTCCAAAAATGTTTTTTTATTACTTATACTTTTTTTAATAGCTAAAATATAAATAAATTAAAATTATATTAATATAATGGATTGACTATCTGTAGTATTATAACAACTCCAATTTCATTTGTAATAATCTGTTATTGTATTTCTAATTCTCTTAATAATTTAAACTAAGACTGTATAAATAATCATTTAATATCTAGTCAATGTCTCTATATAATAAATAATGTTTAATAGATAATCTTTTAAATTGGATTTTTCTTCATATTATTAAAAATTGATGTTATTCTAACTAAAATCTAAGTTAGATATAAATAGTTGTATTCGCTCCATTTTTTATTTTGAAATAATCAAATTTATCTAATAATATAAATGAGATATTAATAAAAATACATTCCAATATTATTTTTACAATTATTAATTAAGAACTTTTGATTTTTTAATTTTAAAATAAAATTAAGTAATTCATTATTTTTTCTTATTGCTTTTAGAATATTCAAAGTTTACTATAGCTTTAATGTCTTAATTACCAGTTAAAACATAAATAAATATCTACCATCAAATAGGAAAACTATTTAGTATAAGTAAAAAAGTATAGTAATTATTTATTACTTCATATCGGCCTTTTAAAAGTCTCAAAAAAATATGCAAAAATACTCAGAAGACTTGATTTGAAATTTATATAAATACTTTTTAAATATGAAAAAAATTATAAATAAATAAATATTTTAAATATATAGACCTTCTTTACAAGTCAAGTAAAATTAAAAAAACCTACCCCAACATCTTGGCTTGCAATTCCTTTCACATTGGAAATCATTTTTTACCCTAGTCAGCCTTTCCTATCCACTCCTTAAATCAACCCCTACCAACACGATATTTAATAAATTATGATCGAGATACCTCTTAAATGGTTGATACTAATTGCTTCTTATAGCCACCTTAGAAATCAAACCTAATTAAATTATAAAAAGAAGTCTTCATTTAAAATTAATTGATAATAGTGATATTAAATTTTTACATTAAATCCACCACTTAAATTATATTATAATACTAACACTTAATAAATGTAAATAAATCTTTTTTATTTGAATGAATCATTTCAGCTCTTTTATACATCAATTAACATACCTCTATATGAAAATAACATTGCTAAATCTTTAAAAAGTTAATTGTAGCCTTTTAATCTAAAGGAATTTCGTTCAGAACATTAGGTCTAATTTTTATTTTACAAAGTATCTTTTAAGAATTGAGAATTAGAATTTGGTAAATTCAATGTAAATATTGAATTTTCATATTTTAAATTTTCTCTTTCTTTTAAGTAATAATAATATAATTAGATTGATTTAATGAATTCTTCTAATGAAAACCTTTTGAGCTATCGATAATCAACTTGGGAAGAATAAACTATTGAAAAAGAAATTGATTAATACAACAAACTATCATGGAGTATTGAGAAAATATAAATTCAAATCAAGTTCACCTCAGATTAAAAAATCATCTATTCATTTAATGGAGCAATTTTGAGAATGTACATTTTATTATATTTTAAAACATAGTGTAGAATGCCAAGATATT